TCATATTCTGCAGTCCACTGGTGCCTGGATGAGAACAACTTTTGAAACAGCAAGGCAATGCGAAAGTGAATGAGAAAATTTTACTACCATTCCTTCATCACTTCAGACGAAATAGGGTGAATACCTTTCATATTACCGGTCGAACGCCGCCTAAAACGAAACAGAGTGAATACATCTCATTTGACGGATTTACTGGTTATCTCGAGACCCTACTTATAAACGAAAAATAAGTAGTGTAGTCGATTGTTATAGCAAATATAAGTTTGCTTTATCGCCAATCCCACCATCGCCCTCATGGAAATTCACATCTGACCTCTGACCCAAGGGCACTCGTGGCAATGTGGCTTGGTGCTTAACGTGTCGAGATTACATGCGACATTGTCATGGTTCGAGTCCTGCTGAGGGTGTTGAAAAGACCGAGGAGAGGTTGAAACTGCAGTCTGAATGAGAATACCTTTTGGGAAAAACTATGTAAAATTCGATCGAAACATCAGCCTTACTCATATCATTGTGGGAAAATGCAACTACAAGTCCTTTATCACCTTGCATGAAATAAGGTGTATACATCTCATAATCCTTTCATTGTTCTTGTGTATCCGTCTCTGCCTGACTTAGGGTTTGTAGGTCTTTTAACTTGTATACATACCTGTGTGTTTGTTTGTATTTGTGCTTATCTGTTTGTCAGTAGTTCAATCTCTGTGCTTACCCCATCGCTTCTCTATGAGGTATGATATTTAAACCTGTACGTGTGCTTGTCTGTAGGCCTTTTAATATATAAATTTGTGTGTGTGTGTGTGTGCCTATATGCTTGCTTTTCCCACGACCGATGCGTTATGTATCCCAGCATACCAATGTCCAATAGTTGCCCTCACTTCGAGTTTCCATGGGGCTCAATGTTCCATTGTGAAGACAGTCATTTCCCTGAATGGGCATCTTTGTGTTTGTGTGTGTGTGTATGCGTGTGCGTGTGCGTCTGGATTGCATAATGTGACTAAGGAGTGATTATAGAATTTATATTTTACGCACCCTGGCTTTGCAAAATATATTCGTATGAAAGTAGAGTTTCGAGACTACCAGTAAATCAGTGTAATGAGATGTATTCACCCTATTTCGTGGGAGTAGAATTTTCCCACAATCATATGAGTTGAGCTGAAGTTTCCCAAATATGGAAATAGGGTGAATACATCTCATTGCAAAATATATTCTCATCCAGAATGCACTAAACTGCTCTTATTCAAGATCTTTGATGGCGTCGAGATTGTCTCAATCGGAATGTGTGCGAAGCATGACTCTCGGCACAAACGTGAATGTGTACAATGGGAATAACGTGGAGGTTGGAGGCGGGAGGGCGTAAAGGGGCCCAAATGTTGTACCAAAATGTGACTGGCTACTTTCGGTCAGTGGCTGCTGGCGCTCTTTCCTTGTTTTGCTTCAACTGTCGGACGGCCGGTTCGTTGAAAGTACTTGCCGGTCGTGCTTGCGTCTACTTCATACCAGATCGAGATTGACTTCCTCGGACACTCTCTTGAAAGGTTTTTTTGAAGAGGCGTTGCCTTTACCGCCTTCCCAGACTGACGATGTCGAGGCCGATTCGAGACCCGAGGTCCTGATTGGTCGAGAGCCCAGCCGCCCACTCAAGCCATGAGTGAACAGAAAAGCGGCAGAACCAATCAACTTGCCCGTCCCTGCCAATAGGTATTGCTGTCGAGTCTTTTGTTTCATATACAAGGTTGTCTGATGAGGAGATTTGTTGCTTCCTGTCACCACAAGTCGACAGACGAACCCTGTTGCACTTCAACCGTTTGGGTTTTATGCCAACTTACATTTGACGCAGTCCACGCGATATCCTGTCTCGTTTCGAGACAAAACGGGATCCGCATTCTTCGGCTCTTTAAGTCCTATGTGAAGGGACAACTATGAAAATGACCCACCAAATCATTTTGTATCTATCTATTCATATATACTTTTGTTTTCTACTTCTGAGTGTATATAACGTGTAAGATGGAGCTGGAAACTCCGCTTAAACCCGCGTTAACTTGAGTTTTTCGCAAGAATGAGTCCCAGTTGTGAAGATTTTCGTCAAGAGATGAACGAAATCTTGACTCGTCGTCATGCGAAAAGTTGGAGGATGTCTCGTGAACTGCATCAACGTAAAGTTTGTGCTAAAGCCAAACGGCGACGGTACAGCGCGAATCACTCGTCGTCTTTACAACAACAATTGGCAACTTCATACACATTCACATCAAATGGTAGCCTCTTCAACACAGCCCATGTTAGACCGGCCCGTGTGAAAAAGGCTCCGACGACAATGCTTGTGCGAGCATGCGTTTTGTCCGCTCGTCCGGAAATCGCGAAAAATGCCATTCTCTGCACCTGACGACGAGTTAGTCCGAACCCCACAGGCGATGTATATGCATTGTACCTTCCCGCCGGATCCTGACGCCGAGACGTAGATCTCCAGTCGATCTGGTCGTCTTGTCCCGCCGAGTCGCCATGACAACACAGTGGTTCTTCTGCCTCTGACCCGCTTTCAGGTCTCGACGGCAGTTGTATGTTTCTCGATCTCGTTTCCAGGCTGAGCGTTAACTCATCATTTTGCCATTTGCCCACCCACCCCCCTCTCCTGCCCTCTAAAACTCACCGGATTCGACGGTCTGTCGCCGCCAACCCTCGATCCTCAAACTATGATCCGCGAATCTTGACCGTTCGCACTCTACCCTCGAGCGTGTGTAGTCTTCGACCCCTGCAAACAGCCCGCCAACGCAGACTGTGAGCACATCTGTACCACCCTGCCGGGCTATCGCTATGCATGCTCGTGTCGAGAAGACTACCGACTGGCCGAGGATAAGAAGCACTGCATACGTGAGTTGACATTCAGCTGCATCCGAAACAAATGACCCAAGGGATAATGAACAAACAGATCCTCACACAAATCAGATCTCTTCTGTATTACTTTGACGCATTCTACTATTTTGTTTACTCTGTCTCGCTGCATATGAATATTCTGCAAACCCGCAAACTCCTCTCCTAATTCACATACTTATTCCTTCCCATTACTTTTATACAAACCAACACTCTTTTCATCTTCTTTCAACACATCTTACTCCCTATCACTTTTCTCTAAACCCGCAAATTCCTCTTTTAATTCCCACACTCCTTTCTCCGCATTATTTTTCTACAAATCGGCACACTCCTTCATCCTAATTACTTTTTTACAAGCCCGAATACTCCTCCCCAAATAAAAACATACCTTGCTCGCCATTACTTTTCTACAGATCCGTAATCACACCTACTATTACCCACACTTTTCCTCCCTGTCGCTTTCATTCAAACCCGCACACTTCTCTCTTAATTCTCACACTCCTTCATCCTAATTACTTTTTTTCAAGCCCGAATACTCCTCCCTAAACAAAAACATACCTTCCTCGCCATTACTTTTCTACAGATCCGCAATCATACCTTTAATACCCACACTTTTCCTCCCTATCGCTTTTCTTCAAACCCGCACCCACATCTTTTTATTTCCCTACTCCTTCCTTCGTATTAATTTTCTACAAATCGGCACACTCCTCTCTTAATTCTCACACTCCTTCATCCTGATTACTTTCTCCACTCCGAATACTCTTCTCTAAATACAAACATACCTTCCTCGTCATTACTTTTCTACAAATCCACAATCACATCTGCTAAAACTCACACTTTTCCTCCCTATCGCTTTTATTCAAACCGACACACTACTAACTTAATTAAAACACTCCTTCTCCCCATTACCTTAGAACACATCCGCACACTCCTCTCTTGATACCCAGACTTCCTTCTATCCTTTCACTTTTTATCAAACCCGCACACACCTATCTTTATTCCCACACTCCTTCCTCCCTATTAATCTTCTGCAGATCGGCACACTCCTCTCTTAATTCTTACATTCCTTCATCCTGATTACTTTTCTCCAAGCCCGAATACTCCTCTCTAAATACAAACATACCTTCCTTGTCATTACTTTTTTACAGATCCGCAATCACATCTACTAATACCCACACTTTTCCCCCCTATCACTTTTCTCCAAACCCGCACTCTCCTCTCTTTCTTTCAACCACTTCATACTTATTTCTTTCCTCAACCCTCTCTATCCCTCCTATCACTTTTCTTCCTCCTCTGTTCCCTTTTATCTCTCTCTTATTTTTCCTTTAGACCCTTTCCATGTTATCTTTCCTCCTGCATCCAAAACAAATGACCCAAGTGACAATGGATCAAACAGATCCTCACACAAATCAGATCCCTCCTGTATAACTTTGTCTCATTCTACTATTTTGTTTAATCTGTCTCGCTTCATATGAATATTCTGCAAACCCACAAACTCATCTCCTAATTCACACACTTCTTCCTCCGTATTAATTATCTACAAACACGAAATTACCCACCTCTAATTTAAACACTCCTTGTTCCCCATTACTTTTATACAAACCAACACTCTCCTCATCTTCTTTCAACACATCTTCCTTCCTATCACTTTTCTCTAAACCCGAAAATGCCTCTTAATTCCCACACTCCTTTCTTCCCATTACTTTTCAACACATACGCACACTCCTCTATTGATACCCACACTTATTCCTCAGTGTCACATTTCTCCAAATCCCCATATTCCTCTCTTAATTTCAACACTCTTTGCTCCAAATTGCATTCATCCAAACCCACACAGCCTTCTCTTAATACCCACACTTCTTCCCTTTTAATTTTATTTCAAACCCGCACACACCTCTCTTTATTGCCACACTCCTTCCTCCCTATTAATCTTCTACAAATCGATACACTTTTCTCTTAATTCTCACACTCCTTCATCCTGATTACTTTTTTCCACCCCGAATACTCCTTTCTAAATAAAAACATACCTTCTTTGCCTTACTTTTCTACAGATCCGCATACACATCTACTAATACCCACATTTCTTCCTCCCTATCACTTTTCTCCAAAACCGTACTCTCCTCTCTTTCTTTCAACCACTTCATACTTCTTTCTTTGCTCAACCCTCTCTATCCCTCCTATCCCTTCTCTTCCTCCTCTGTTCCCTTCTTTCTTTCTCTTATTTTTCCCTTAGACCCTTTCCATCTTCTCTTTCCTCTAACTACGCTTCCTTCTCCTTCCTTTACTTAAACCCATTCTCTCCCTCCTCCCTCACATTCTCTTTCTCCCTATCCTCCTCTCTACTCATCATATTTCTCCCCCTTCTCTCTCCCTTTTCCTCTTTCTCTTTCCACTTTTTACTCTTCGCATTTAATTACTCCTCCTACTCATTTCCTTCTCCCTACTCTCCTCTTCTCTCTCAAACCTCTCCTCTTTTCATTAACTGTTCATCCTTCATCAACTAGTATTATCATTATTTCCATATTTCGCGTCATGTCTGAATGCATGTCGACATTTGGACTTTCCCTTCACCCTGTTCAGTTACTTTGCCCTTTGTTTATTTTTTTCAGCCCTCAATCCCTGCCTCATGAACAACGGAGGTTGTGAGCAAGAGTGCCAAAACATCGGCGGTCGGGCTCGGTGTGAATGTCGCGACGGCTATCAGATCTCGCATCGTGATCCCACCAAATGCGAAGGTATGCGACCCAGCAACTAAATGCTTTCAGCCTCAGCCTTTTTCCTGTTAGCACATGCTCCGGCCAAATTTGAGGCATATTTGCCCCTTGACGACTTAGCTGCTGCGCTTTTGTGCCTGTAAAACCATGCTGAATGCTTAACGGTTCTTGTATCTGCTAACTCAATTTTCCGTATATAAATAGAGTTTTAAGACTATCAGTAAATCAGTCATATGAGATGTATTCACCCTGCTTTGTCTAAGATAATGAAGGACTAGAAGCAGAATTTTTCCCAAATCATATGAATAAAGCTGACGTTCCATTGAATTTCATACAGCCCTGTTTTCCCAAAAGTTGTTCTCATCCAAGCTGAAGTGGACGGCAATTTCGACTACCCTTGATGATTTTAATAAAATTTAGGCGAGGTTGAAATTGCAGTTCACTTTGGCCTGGATGAGAAAAAATTTGAGGAAAACAGAGCTCTGCAAAATTAAATGAAAACGTTAGCTCTATTTATATAACTGTGGGTAAATTATGCTAAGAGTCCTTCATCACCTTAACCGAAATTGGGTGAATACATCTCATACTACTGATTTACTGTTAGTCCACTCTGGATGAGAACAACTTTTGGGAAAACAAGGCTCTGCGTAATTCAACGGAAACGTCAGCTCTGTTCATATGATTTTGGGAAAG